TAGTGCTAGTTGTACATGGCTGAGCTAAAGAAATATGCAAGGCTTGTTTTATTTTAGGAAAGAAAATATCTGTTTCTTCTACTACTTCACTCATTTCCATGTCTGATAGTTTGCTTTTAGCCAGTTTTTTCTCCTTCCAGATGTTGTACAATAATTCTGCTTCACTTTCCAAGTCTTTAATTTGGTAATAATTGGCAAAATCATTTATTTTAAGTTTAAATTCTTTGGTGTTCATATCTAACATATTTGAAGGGTGTAATAATAAAAGTGAAAAAGCAGGTATGTTTTCATCAGAAAATCTCCGTTCCAATGAGGATATTAATGAATCCAAGTATGGAATTAGTAATGATCTCTTCCAGAATTCAGCCGAATTTAACGCTGGAGGATTCGAACGATGTTGTTGTTGTTTAACAATCCTAGGAAGATTAATTTCTGCTCCTATATTCTCAGCTGCTATGTTTGCAGCAGTTAATAATTCTTGAATTTCTGTGTCAGCGTGTTCGCGGTGATCTTTCACTATGACTACTATTTTTTTTATAAAATTTGAGCATTTCAGCAAATCCAGATTTTTTGATTGTAAAGCATTCACAACAGGCTCTAATAATTTAGAGTATTTTGCTATGAGGATAACACTCATTATAAAAATACTTTTATTTGCTACAGCATACAATTGAAAAGCAACTTTTCTTGTTGCAGTGTTCCCATCTTTTGACAATTTATCTAAAGCATGTACAATTATCTCAAAATTTTCTTTGAAAATTGAAATACTTCTATATTTTTGAGACCATCGTGTCTCACAGAATGCTGGTATGTTCGGGATACATTTTCTACGTAAAACAGATTCGCGAAAAAAGTTTATGATATCCTTTACCGTTGAAATTGTGTTACGTATTTCTGGAACACAATTTAAATCATTGACCACCAAGTTTAATTTATGACTTGCACAGTGAAAAAATAGAGCATGTGGATATTTTTCTCGTAAAATTGTTTGCACTCCATTGATTTTCCCTGCCATAGTTGCGCAACCATCATAGCCTTGTCCAACAAGCTTCGTTCCATCGAGACCTTCGTTTTGAATAAAATGATCTATTGCACTAGCTATGTTAACAGCATCCATGGCATGTAGTTCAATGAAGCCTAAAAATTCTTCTCTGATAGCCCTTTTCTCATCATCAAAAAATCTAATCCCAATAGACAATTGCTCTGTTCCTGAGATATCAGCGGTCTCGTCTGCCATTATACTGAAAGCTACAGCCTTTTTAACATCATTAATAATACAATCTTTGATTACTGTTCCACTTATATTGATGATTTCATTCTGAATTTGCGGAGATGTGTAGATGGCATTTCGCTTGCCCTTTTCGATATGGTTTTGGAGATACTGATCACCAGCTTCAATTCGCATTTGAATTAAGTCATAGAAAACTCCTACATCAAAAAATTATCAAAAATAAATAATTTAAATAATCCAATATTTTATAAATTTAATGATTTTATTCAATTACCTTCATTTTGACCTTTTCCTCTAAAGGGTAGATCATGGGTTCCGCAAAATAGTACATTTGAAATTATGGACGAAATAATTTTTCGATTTTGTTCTAGTACTTTTTGGTGTCCGGATACCATCATAATATTTATAGGTACTTCTTCCATAAAACTTTTAGCTGCTTCGGTTGCTCCTTGGTGCCAATTATTGGAAATATGGTTTCTACAGCCCTCGTGAATGTCTTTGTATCGTGTAAAAGGTTTGATGATAAATGAACCTAAAACACCTTGGACTTTTTTCGGTGGAAACAGAACACAGTACAAACAAAGAGCTCCTTTCAGTATTTTCGAATACGCAAGCCAAGGAGCATAGGCCTGTAACCAACTATGGTTAAATTTTCTCTTTGATCCAACAGCAATAGCATCCTCACTAAAGTTGTAATTTTCTGGTGGCGTCCAACAACGTTTCAAGATATCCATTTTTTGAGATGTTGTTAAATGATTAGACCGTCCCCCCCATTGACCTATGTCATTTTCAAAACGTTCTTCATTTGTAAGCTTTTTAGAAGTTGAAGGATCTGCATTTCTGGTATTGCGATCATAAGAAGTGGAAGGTTCGTTGGAGGATTTGGGAATTTTATATATTCCTTCATGTTCATCACTTCCGCTACTACTTATTTCTGGCAATTTTCTCTTTTCTCGACCTTAAAAATTACGAAGACTTATGAAATAATGATGTAAGTGATAATCAGGGCTCGAAACTTAATGCATTAAAAATTTGTTTGTTGTTGATAATTTATTAATAATAAATTATAAACATAAAATATGAGCTATGACACAGAAAAAGTTGTTTCCTATGTATTGTGGAATTTTGGTAATTCTACTATAAATACCAAGGGAGTGGTTTTGTCCCGCGCAAAACAGTTTTTCGCTATATTGTATGCTTGTAAGACGAAGACAACGCATGCGGGTATAGCGTCCTCTTAATATATCATAGTTGCGGCAGGCGGCGGTCACAATACATAGTGTATATATTATATAAGTAAAAGACTTTGTACTTATTTATTTTACTTTGTAACTATTTATAATTCTAAAACAAGATATGTACTTACCACCAAAAAACTTTCTTATGTCCATCGTGTAAAATAATATTAAATGTAAACGTTATATATTATATTCGTTACTTACGCGAACACAGAACGGCACGTACTGCTGTCTGCTGCACTTGATTGTTGACACTATCGCTGTTGATATTAATGTATAAAGCACATAACGATTAGCGTTTAACTCATAATTCAAATAATCTTTAGATAGACTAATCGATAAAATATAAAACGATTACACGTGTAGATATCACTCGGTCCCACTAAACTATTTTTAGACTTCATGTACTTATATCATATTTAATATTTCAATTTTAACGTAAAACTTACACGTGTGATATAAGAAATACAATTTAGTTTGTAGTGCAGGGGGGGGCACTTGCCCACCCCTGCCCCATACTCGCTACGCCCATGCCTGGGACACCAAATTAGCCCCCATACTATTTTCGATCAGGAACAGGCGCAACGACCGGACAGGATACCCACCGTCGGTACTCGTCCTCGGGAGAGAGGGCAAAAGGCCTGGGGACTGGATACTGTCGCGGACAGCGGAAAACCCGATCGAACAAATAAATATGGACAGGGCTAGGCGCGAAAACAATGTACTTACCGCACCACCGGCAACAGGTGGCCCGACGGACACACAGTACAAAACAGGTGACACGGTGTACTACAAGGCACACCACCTGTCAAGCGCGCACAAAAAGTTTCACGCCGGCTTCGCACCGAAATGGTGGGGACCGGTGAAACTACACAAACGCGTAGGCAAAGGGGTGTTCATCACAGACCAACAGCCGGCACGCAAAATACACGTGTCCTGCCTCAAACGGGCGAACACAACAGAGCCCCAACAACCCCCACCCAAACCCCCCACACCATAAACACTCAATAGCATCTTTATGTACTCAATTTCAGTCGGCTTAGCATCACACCACCAAATGGACCAACCACAACGGCCGGGAACACCCTCCACCCTCCAACAAGCGGCGGCACTTCTGGAACGCAGCCAGGAGCTGCTGAGGGCAGCCACTTTGGAGGAGGGCACGACAGTCACCACGGCGGCCAGGGTATGGCGGATGACCAATGCTCAACTCCAGCGGGACCCGGTACTGTGGGCGGCCTACAAACGAGGGTGGGAGGACCGCACCACCGTGTTCAAAAGGGCGACAAGCGGCGCACCCACGGCGGCCGCACGACACACCAGGTCGCGAAGCCCCAGACGGGTGGCACAGGTACCGGCCAACACCCAAAAGGCGCAGCCACGGACGCCGACGCGGGCACCCGAGAGGCCACCACCAAGGCCGCTGATGGAGTGGCCAGTTCCAGCGCCGAGGACAGCGACCAGGCCATCAACAACATCCACCTTCAAGCCGCCGCCGCCACCCCCGACACAAGCGGCAACCGCACCGGCAACACCATCTGCAGTAACGCTGAACGCCCGCCAACGCCGAAACCAGCAGCGGAAGCGGGACCACAGGGCCAAACAACAACAGGCATCCCAACAACACCGCCTGGAAAAGCCGGCACCACCCCCAGCCCCAGGCCCAGAGACGGTCCTGTCGGAGCGACCGGAGCCACGGATCAACTAGCGGCTGCCACCCCTCAACCCGAGGATATGGAAATATCCCCGGAGGAGGAGGCACAGCTGTTAGGAGGTACGGGCACACACCTGGCTGACCAAGAGGACATGGACGTCAGTCTACTGTACTACAGCCCCCCCACATCGCCGAAACGCGATTAGACACCGCCAGGGCTACGTCCGCTGAACACAGCCGGAAAACGTACCCTCGGACAGGTGTCTACCACAACCACCATCCACCCACTGACCCACCACAACCACCCACCACTCATGACAACGCAGACCGCCGGTAACGGCCGGAAAACCAACGCCGTTGGCGGTTTGGGGGGGGAGTATGACGCGGTCCCGCGCAAAATCTGTTTGAATTCAAACAGCCTTTGCGCGGAAGCCGCGCCGCGGCTTCTCAATCAAACCGCCAACCGACGACGGACGACGCCGGCGCGCGACACGCGCGCCATGAACCGTCGGCCGGCCGTCCAGCGAACCGGATTGCCAAGGCGCGCTCTCTCATCATCACGACACCGACCCGGATAGTTCTCCGAAAAGTCGACACTCGTTCTCGTGTGAACTCGATACCGTAGAAACCGGATCATAAAAATTGAATGTTCTTTTTGTTTTGACTCTTGTCACTTGTTGGAATAAAAACCATTAATACAGCAGTGCGCCGTTCGTTGTTTGTAAATTCTTTTACTATCCCGTTTGTTTGTTTTTCGACCCGACTCACCGTCGGTCACCACCACCTCATCACCACACCACGCGACACAATTAGAGTCCGCGTCAATATTCCTCTTAATAACTTAATTGGTTTTGGGTCAGATGGATGCAATGTCATGATGGGTGCTCATAATTCGGTCGCCAGTCGCATGATACAAAACTTCCCAAGCATAACAATTTGGACATGCATTTGTCATTCTTTACATTTGTGTGCTAGAGAAGCGTGTAAAAGTCTTCCTCAACGCTGCGAAGAACTTACTCGTAGCATTTACTCTTTTTTCTCCATGAGCTCTAAGAGAAATGCTCAATTTGTTCAATTCCAAGAATTTTGTTCAACGAATATCCATAAAATATTGCATCCATCTTAAACGAGATGGTTATCATTACAGGCGGTTGTATCTAGATTATTGGAACAATGGGATGCTTTAAATTTATATTTTAGGGATAGAATTTTAACTGAAAGACTTTTGGTAGTTGACAATATTTATAAATCATTAAATGACCCACTTATAAAATTAATTTTTCTTTTCATGGACTTTATCTTACCTAAATTCACTCCTTTAAATTCTTTTTTTCAAAGTTCTAATGTTGTTATTACACAACTTCATGATAAAATGGTTTTAACATATAAAGAAATATTATTATTATTATATATGAACCCCAAGTACATACAGACAACACCTATTAAGGATATTAATCCAGAAAAATCTGACAAGTTTTTACCAACATCACAAATATACTAGGGAATCAAAATTATGCAAGAAATGCAAAAAAATTCTATATTTAATAATAAGGCATTAATAGTCGAGTTTTATTCAAGGGTTCAAAATTTTTTTAAAATATCATGTCTTCAAATACAAAAAAAAATACAACTTTGGTGACCCTGTAATGCCAGCAATAAAATTAATGGATCCTAAAACCGCATTATCAAATATTGTAATTTTTATATACAATGTAAAGTTAAAATAATAATAATAGTAAAGAGAAAAGATCGAAAATTTGTAAAATTACGGAAAAAAAATGCAAAAAAAGTCGGGATTCGGGCGGCCGTGTAAACAATATGGCAATGACGGCAACGACGCCCTGAGAGCGTACGACGGAATCGAACCTGGGACCTACGTGTTTCCTACCTAACGCCTAACCTACTCGGACACAATTTGAGATGTGAAATACGGTCAAAACATCAACACTGAAGCCGTGCGTCTACGGAGCGACGTAAGCCGATATATTCGATGTACATCGATGTAATCGCATATAATTCGCTTGTAATACGTGCATCTCCCATATATATAAATAAAGGAGCGCGTGAAATTCGTTTTCCGTTAATAATTATTAAATCAACTGGCAAAAATTAAATTATACACGTATATACATGTATATATACGCGTACGGTCGGTCGTAATTTCTAAACGCGATTGCGAAGCGAACCGACCGATTTTGTAAGAAAAGCGTATATATACGGCTTTAGAAAGACGTCAACTACACGATTCGGGCACTAACGGCGTGCGAAAAGACGAAACTGTCGGAGAAAACGAAAAAAATCGGCAAAAAAGTCCGGCCGGGAGCGTATTTTGCGATCGACATTGCGACGGCTACGGACGGCGCACGGATATAAACCGCCCACCGGCGGCTTCGAGAGATCGCGAGCTAAGCGAATCGAGTATAAAAAAGGGCAAAAACGATAGAAAACGGTCGAAATCGTGTGAAAAGAGTAAATTTTCGAAAATTTCAAAAATAATGATAAGAAAAGAAGTGATAACGCGGCGACGGAATTTTCTGATTGGCGTTCCTTATTTGCTGCGTCGCGCCTGTCGGACAAAACAGGAGACTAACCTTATAATATAAGAGATATTATAGTGTATTAGTGTGTAATAATTTGTATAAACTGTAAATAATATAACTAACAATCGAGTATTTCGAGTAATTTCTCTCGATTATACCCATCACTACTCTTTTATTAAATTTCGATCAACGGTCGGTGTAACACTACAACTGTGAACTGAATACTCATCGAAAAACAACCGTGAGTATTTTAATTTTTTGGAACAAGTCTAGTTTACCGGGCACAATTTTTTTTTGAAATTTTTTTTTTTTGAAAGGGTTGTTTTGACGAGTAAGAACGATGGTGCAAAAATAAAATTGCGGAAATGATTATTTTGGAAGTTATAGCTTCCCAAAGTTAACGATTTTACGTTTATACGCGGGCGCGCAACACTGCTATAATGCCGCGGAGGACCTCGAGTTTGGCGACCGGAGGACTTTTTTAATTGTTTTTATCTTTTATGAAAACTGATACAACAATTAGTAATTACTAATTACCCTGTGAACTACTTGAGGTGTTGTTGCGTAGCAAGTCGGGCGATATTTTCGATTTGCGGAACGGTGCGACGAGTGCCGCAAACTGTGTAATCACTGCCCTTAGGTACTGTAGGTAATTAGCTATAGGTAATTTGGTTATTTATAAAAGATATAGGTAATTAATAATATAATTATAATAGGAATAGTAATATAGTTATGTAATTGGGTATGCCGTCGGATATTTATCTGTGCTCGATATAATTGTTCTGTTATTATAATCAACATTTTACGATACTCAAATGTATATCGCGTCGTCGCATGCAGTACCTACCCAAGCTTTTAAGACGGCAGTCAGTAAGCATCTAAATTTATTTGATTTTAAACAATTTGAGTTAAAGGATAATGGTTTAAAATTAATAAATAAGTTAATGGAATTTGGTGTAATTCAAACAAATGTCAAATGTATACGTGGCCATGATATGACACTTGTAAATTATGTATCTGTTTTGGATAAATTTAAATGGAAATGTCGGAATTTGGCTAGGGATCCAAAAAAAAAACAATGTTGCAATTATAGGTAAGTAATTCTAAATTTATTTTAAAGTATGCACAGAACTGAGACTAGGGTTTGTTGTTTTCTTTTTCATTATAGTTCATCCCTTAGAAAAGGTACATTATTTGCCAAGTCACATTTGTCCTTAGTAGATATATGTGGTTTTGTAAATTTGTGAACAATGAATTGTCCATCATTTATTATACAAAACCAATTACGTTTGGCCAAAAACACAGTGGCTAATTGGAATTCTTTTTGTCGGGAAGTCACCTTTGACGGTATGATCGTCAAAAAATGCTTGTTGGGTGGAGTAGGCAGAACCGTAGAAATTGACGAATCGAAGTTTGGGAAAAGGAAGTACCACCGTGGACATAGGGTAGAAGGACAGTGGGTGTTCGGAGGATATGAAAGAGAAACCGGTTCTTGTTTTCTTATCCCAGTAGAAGATAGATCATCTTCCACTCTATTAGATATAATTAAAGAGTGGATTAAGCCCGGTACAACAATTATATCAGATTGTTGGAAGGTAACAAATAAAAGTTCAACAACATTAACATAAAACTAAAATGAGCTAATTATTAATAAGTAATTAATTTTAGGCCTACGACTGTCTCGAAAATGAAGATTATGTTCATCTTAAGGTCAACCACTCTATAAACTTTAAGGATCCTGTAACTGGTGCACATACTAATGCGATTGAATCTACTTGGCGACACACAAAGGTGTCAATGCCCAACTATAGGAGACAAAAAGAGTTTTATGGCGGTTACCTAGCAAAGTAGCAAATGAGTTTTTAGGAGTAGCTTTTTTTTTAATACTTTGAGGTTGATTCCTAATTTCTCTTATCAGTCTTTGGAAGAATTGACCCCAACTCTATGAGTGGTATGATAATATAAGAGTTGGCGTTGACCGTCGTTTAAACATCTGATCAGGTCGTTGTACTGTTCATTGTCAATTTTCAGCGGTCACCGACCTCGTCATTGAAAATCTTCAGCTGCGAAGTCAGTTGGAAGAGGCGAGAAGATCTGCTGAAATATGCGTAGGGGCTGCCACATCGCAATTCGGCACCGAGCTCCGGCTGAGGGAAGCCGCCCACGAGCAAACCCTGGAGGCTGTGGTGGCTAGATACGCCGAAAAGGAGGCAATCAGATCAATCGAGGTGGCCAGATCCACGGAGGTAGAGGCAACGACCCAACAACTGTCAACGGAACCGAGGGCAGAAGATGTGCCACCCACATTTGCGACAGTAGCCAGAAGGACGACAAATAGAAAGGAAAATAGGCAGGCGGATCGCTCGAGGTCACGTGCGACTGCGAGGAACAAAACGTTAAAGGAAAACCGACAGATGGTGCACATGCCTGCTTTCGTAATGAACGTGGGACAGGACAAGACGGCAAGCGAGGTTCGGGATCTAATCTGGACACAGGCGAGGGCGAAGAAAGTTCTACCGAGGTGCCAGACCATAACAACCAAGGCGGGGAAGACGATCCTTAGGCCCGAGGACAAGGAAACACACGACATGCTGAAACACTTTTCCAAGGTGTCATCCCTTGTGAAAGAAGATAGTCTCCGTTGGCCGAGAGTCATCATCCGAGGAGTCGGCTCGGACATGGTGTTTTCGGAACATACCCAGGGCGAAATTTTGGCGCAAAACCCTGAGCTGGGGATTGACGAATCGGTTGAAGACACGGTGCTTATGCCGATTTTCAAAAGTGGCCCCAGGGACAGGAGCACAATAAATTGGATTGTGGAGGTAAATCCAAAATACTTTAAAAAATTCGAGGATACCACCCTGTACCTGGGTTTCATGAGGTGCCGAGTAAGCATTTACGAGGAAGTGACACAATGCCACATATGCCTTAAGCACGGACACCCAGCGGCCAAGGGTAATGAAAAAGAACAGGTGTGTTCGCATTGTGGGCGCAAGGGGCACAAGGCGTTGGACTGCCCGGCCGCGGAAGCGAATCCGGTATGTGTAAATTGCAGAGGAAAGCATAGTGCCAGGGACAAAACGTGCTCTGCCCGCACGGCGTTTTTGGTGGCCCAGGTCAAGAGGACGGATTATGGTATCGTCCAATGACGGAAGGAACCATAAAAATAGTGCAGCTAAACATGGGTAGAGCCTCGGCGGTCAGTGATCAGTTACTCGAGTATTGCCAGCGTACCGGTACAAACGTGGCTCTACTACAGGAGCCGTACACCAATAGGGGAAAACTTACGGGTTTTGAGGTGGCTCCTTTCAGGTGCTTCCTCTCGAAGGGTACATGTCGTGCAGGTAGACCAGAGTACTCTGACGTAGGTGCTGCGATCGTGGTCTTTAATCCAAACCTGGTGGTAGCGTCAAGGGACTCGGGACGGGTTGAAAACTTTGTGAGTGTTGATTTGGACTGCGGTCCGGACGGCATATGGTCATTAATAAGTGGGTATTTCAAGTACCGGGTACCCACAGTCACTCATGTGGCTGCCTTGGAAAACTTGATTGAGCATAATAACAACAGTTTGTTGATTGGGTTGGAC